ACCCGACCCAAGATATATTTTTGTATTTTCTAGATATATATAGAACATTTATATTTTTTTTAATTCAATATATATATATATATATATATATAAAATTCAAATATATATCTCTATTTTATTTTTTTGTTGAATAATAAATAATAGTCATAAAATGGATATCCATATGGAAACCCCGCACCCGATGGAAAGGGTATAAATATCAAAATCTTTTACTCCATGTGTAATGGGTAGGGTATGTATATAAGGAAACCTGACCTGGGGTACCATTGCCATCCCTAGGAGTTGGCATTCTCGGTGTTATACAGGAAATCTTTGTACTTGATATGCAATAAATCAAAAATAGATAAACTAACCTTAATTTATTTTCTGTGCAACAGATAGATGAAAATGTGCGACGAGAAATCATTAACCACAGGTCGCTTAGGCATCCCAACATTGTCAGATTCAAAGAGGTCTGTCAATTCCTACAACTTATTATTTTTTTCCCTTTACAAAGAGGGTTTTTTTCCCTTTACATAGAGGTAGTTTTTATTCAATAACTCAATGACACGACTATAGGTCATATTAACCCCAACTCACCTGGCAATTGTGATGGAATATGCATCTGGTGGAGAGCTCTTTGAGCGCATATGTATTGCTGGTCGCTTCAGTGAGGATGAGGTTCTTACCCAACACATAGATACGTTTTAGTGCTTCTGATATATATATATATATATATATATATATATATTTTTTTTTTTTGTGTAATGTGTTCAGCCTTGTGATGCAGGCACGCTTTTTCTTTCAACAACTTATATCAGGAGTTAGCTACTGCCATGCAATGGTTAGTAAATCCTATATAATGCCTTTGTTTATTGTTCTTACTTTAGCAAAAAGTATGAGGGATTTGTTGTGTTTTAATTTATTCCTTTGTGAAGCAAGTATGCCACCGTGACTTGAAACTGGAGAATACATTGTTGGATGGAAGCCCAGCACCTCGATTGAAGATTTGTGATTTTGGTTACTCAAAGGTACAAGAATCCTTATGCTCTTATTGTTGAAAATCCATAATATGATTTCTTTGATGTCTATAGGATCATGGATGAGCATTCGTAAAGATTTTCCTGTTCAATTCCTGACATAGTTGCATATTGTCCGTATCTGCTTTTAACAGTCATCTGTGCTTCACTCACAACCGAAATCTACTGTTGGAACTCCTGCCTATATTGCTCCCGAAGTGTTACTTAAGAAGGAATACGATGGCAAGGTAGGATTTCTGCTCTTTTACTTGATTCAACATGCATGAACTTAGGGAGCAAGGATGTCATTTTCGCACTACAACATGTGTACATTACAACTTGATGTCATACTGATGTCTTGCAGTTAATTCTTTCATTCAGATTGCAGATGTATGGTCTTGTGGTGTGACTTTATATGTTATGCTGGTAGGAGCATACCCTTTCGAGGACCCTGACGAGCCCATGAATTTTCGCAATACAATCCACGTAATGTATCACCTCTCTTCTTAGCTTATTATGTGAGCGTTGCTGAGACCTTGACGAACCTATCCTGTTGTTTCATTCAGCGAATTTTAAATGTCCAGTATTCAATTCCGGACTATGTTCACATATCACCTGAATGCCAACATCTAATCTCAAGAATTTTTGTAGCAGACCCTGCAATGGTTAGTATGCTCTCTCTTGATTCCTGAAATTAGATTCTGTTAACATTTTTACATTGATTATCTGTTTGCCATCTCAAAAACATTGTTTTGATTGCTTATTTTTCGTCAAATGATATATGTTACTTGCTCTTCACTGGCATGTCCTTTCTTTCCTCTTCACTCTAAGTATTTTGCTTCACCAATATCCTGTCCCAAATCCTTCATCCTCCCTCCCTTCATGGCTCTATTATTGACTTTTTGTGGGTGAAGTTTCTAATTTGAATACCTTTTTGAACAGAGGATAACCATTCCCGAGATTAGGAATCATGAATGGTTTCTAAAGAATCTCCCAGCAGACCTCATGGTGGAAAATACAATGAATAACGAGTTTGAAGAACCCGATCAACCAATGCAAAGCATTGAAGAGATAATGCAAATAATATCTGAAGCCACAATACCTGCAGCAGGCACCTCCAGCCTCAACCAATATTTGACTGGCAGCCTGGACATTGATGACGAAATGGAGGACTTGGAGAGTGATCCTGAGCTTGACCTGGATAGCAGTGGAGAGATAGTATATGCAATGTGAATGCCTACTGGTGAAGGGTTATCTAGAATGCTGTGCTGATTGCCTGTGAAAGTGAAGTGACTGTAAAAGAATGGAGGACCAGTTTCTACATGCATGTGTCCCGTTATGCTAGCACCCTCAGAGGATTTCTTCTGTTCTTTTGTGATATGTCGCCACACTTTCAAGTGGCATATAAAATACTGTTTGTGTACACCTTGTAACACGGTCATGTAATAGTCTTGTTATATCCTATCTTGAATCAGATTGCTTGCTTGTTCTGTTATAATTTCCTTTCCCATAACTTTTTCTTTGTGGGAATATTTAGGGTATGGATATGTCTTTGACAAAAGCAACAGGGTTAGGCTGGCTGTCTTTAGTGCTTCTGCTGGCAAAAGGAACACCAGGTTATCTTTGTCAGGGATGCGTGTGATCTGCAATCATTATTTCTTGGTAAAGCTGTTTATCAGCAAAGCTTCTTAGGCTCCTTTACTATTTGGGGTATGGAAGCAAGCAGAAAAATTCGGATGATTTGGCTGAAACTATTAACATCTCAAAACATCTCACAATGAATGACAACTTAGCTAGGGCGAGAGAGAGGAAAATGGTTCGTGTTGCCGAACATCAGAGGAAAAAACTTGGTGATCTGACCTTCTGTGGTTTTGCTTAATACTATTTTGGAGATCTACTTGTTCATTTCTTCGGTAGCTAGGACCTTGGACTCTTGTTTTAGTTGAAACTAGTTTTCGGTACCCGCGTAATGTTGCGGCATAATTCTCAAAACTTATTTTTATTTAACTGGCCTACTATTAAAATAAAAACTCAAATTTAAATTCCAAAGTAAAAAATGTGTTTATGCAGTCAAAATTCTTTTTTATTTTTATTGTTTATACTTTTCTCTAGTTATTTAAAATAATCATTACTTTTTTCATCAATAGTATGGTTTTTTCAATAAGAATTTAATGAAATTAAAATAGAAATTCGGTAAAATTGAAATGATTTAAATTTATGAGGAAAAAAATTATTTCTATTAAAAAAAAAATTTATTCATTATTTTTCTTATTTTGAAAAACAATACTTTCTTTATCTGAAGTTTTTTATATATATAAACTTATAATGATTTGAAAAGTTCAACTTGGAAAAACAAAGGTCTCAATTTAATGTGACTATGAAAAATTAAATTAATTAATAATTAAATTTTATATATAATTATTTATAATACTACTGTTAATATTACGAAAAGAACCTTTTTATTTTATTTGGAAATTGTGGCATAATCAAATTACTTTTAAATATTATTTCAGTAATTTTATTTAAAAAATTAAACTAAAAAAAAAAAACAATAGGTGAAGGGATCAGGGCGTATTGTGTGTGCGTATGCTTCAAAGAAAATAACAATAATCAGTCGCTAGAGGGGCTGTCCTGAGTGCAAGCATGGAAATATTATAAAAATTATTTTATAAAATATATTTTTAGGAAATATATTATTATTTTTTATTTTTTAAAATTTATTTTTTATATTAATATTAAAATGATACAAAATTATTAAAAAAAATTATTTTTTTTTCAAGAGATGATTGGATCATAATGACAAATGGAGCCTTCATTGTCCAAGGTGTACTGTGGATTCCGTTAAATTGGTTAATGACTCTCTCTAGGTTTCACTTCTCAGATCGAAGGGAGCCATATTTGTCGGAATCTGCCAAGGGATTGAATTACGTAGTCATCTTCGATCAACACCAAATAATATTTTAGTATTTTTTTAACAAAATAATACTATTTTAAATAACAAAAATTTACAGATCAGTAGGTTAATATCCCAACCAATTTAAAAAGAAATCTAGTAAAAAATAAGCGAGTTACCTTATCCATCCTTGGAGCAAAACCGAGTTTAATAATTGTGAGGAGTGCATTAATGACACATTAATGTGATAATTTTTTCTTAATATTGTGAACTCAAAGAAAAATAAAGAATAAAAAATATTTATTTAAAACGAGACCAATATATTTTGAGATTGAATTGGAATTCAATGGAGTTGGATTGTATACAGATCAAGGTGTACAACGGTAATGATGACAAGGAATAATATCCGTTCAGGCTTGTTCTAAAGAAGAGTAAAGAGGAAGCCTCCTCCTGGCGTCTGAGTGGTTAGACGAAAAGAAAAATTAAAATTGAACCTGACGTGAATCGAACACGCAACCTTCTGATCTGGAGTCAGACGCGCTACCATTGCGCCACAGATCCAGTTGATATCGATATCCAAGATTCTTTATTTAACTCAAATATATATGACGCAATTTTAATTCAACGTCTGCATCTCCTTTATCCACATTGTTGGTCATGCTGCCTTTCCATGACACTCGATATGAGTAACAGTAATAATGGTTTGGAAATAATATAAATTATATTTTAAAATTTTATTTAATAATTTTAATTATTTGGTTGAAATAATTTTTTAATAGATTATTAGAGTTTTGATAATTAAATAAATACAAGTTTAAATTTCATTGTTTTTAATTATTGGATAAAAATCAAGTACAAGTTAATATAAATCTATGTAATTTTTAAGTTTAAAGTGATTTTACTTGAAAAAATATATTAAAAAATAATTTAAATTATATTTTAATAATTTAAATTATTAAATAAAAATAATTTTAGCAATTTCATCCATGTGAAGAATATTGATGTGGCAATCAAATGCCCTGGAACTTCACTATCCTGTCAATATATTCTGATGGAAAGTTGGAGAAACAAAACATTTATTTCCTTCCGTTTGTGCACAAACAAACGGATCGAACTTCATAAACTCGAAAAAGAAAACTGCTATGGAATCAATGCCACCATACCATTACAATTCAATTAAAAGCTGCATCTACCTCTTGCTAGGCAGAAAAGCTGAAGCAAGTGAGCCAATAAAATCCATCCACAACCTAAACTATAGGCCGAAAAATCATACCTCAAACGACATTCATGCTCAGAAACATCTCGTAATCGGAAGTCCTAAACACATTACAAGGTAAGACTTGACATTAGCAAACTCTGAATTCTCAAATTATTGCATGATGGCTTAAACGAGACAACACGCAGGAACACAAAGCATACCGCTGAAAGATCAACAATCTTTAATCCCTCAGGAAGACCTTTGATGATTTCCAGTAAAGAATAGAACGTGGATCAAACACTCGCTGGTATAAATGGACTTGGTAAGTTAAATTCCATATGAAGAAGATAATACCATTGATGCTTACCCTTGCCTCTCCTCAATAAACTCACTGAGCTGCTGCTTAAGCTTCATAACTTCCTGCTCCTATATGGACAGTGGAAACCATTAAGAGAATTCACTTGTGGGTTTCCAAGGTAATACCAAAGCAAAAAAAACCTTTACTTGAGGCTCCAAGGTGAGCTTTTTCTACAGTATTCTCCACTTGTTTATCATCTAACAGTGACTGTCATTAACATATAGGTACATGAACAAACACATTCATGAAAACTACTCTCTCTTTACTTTTTGTTTTTTGTTTTTCTCTTGCCTTTTTTAAATGCAGAAAGAGCTTTATGTCTAAGCACTTTATCTGACATTATCATATATATTATACCAAAAACAAAAAAGGAGACACATAGTCTCAATTCTATATATGGTCTGAATTGCCAAAAAACCATGATTAAACAAAAGAGTAGTGCAGAACAGCGTAAATTTACCACGTAATTTGTCATATCTAGTTTTACTCCTAGTAAATCGCGGATTACATCATGGGTCATGCTCTCAGCAGCAGCCAATCTGGCATTTAATGCAAATAGAACATGAGGATCTTCTTGTGAGACATTATCTGACACAAATATCAAGTTGGATTTACATTTGGAGTGTAAAGCCTACCTCTTTCTGTCGATTAACTGCTAAGGATTCTAGCTCTTCAATACGCAGTCTTGCCGCCGCAAGGTCCTCATCCTTCTCATATTTTATTTGTTGTGCCAAGCCTAAACCAATACATGTGAAAGGGGAATCAGAAAAAATGAACTTGGCAGCATTTTTCTCGGACTTGTTCGACGAAGAGCTCATGCAGTGGGTGAAATGGCCCTCAGGTTTTACTTGTTCAACCATGCCTTCCAATGCCTTGAACTGTTTTCAGAATTTCTTAAAATACAACAAATGAAATATGAGATGGAAGAACTATAAAACTTTGCCTACCTTCTGTTTAATCATTTGTAACAATGTACCAAATGGTGAATAAAGGAGCTTTACCTCTGCTTCTTTGTTAGATATATTCCTTTCAAGGATTTGTATATGATTCAGTGCATCTTCAAGGCCTCTGTCCTTCTCCTCCAAATGCCTGTAGATGAAAGAAAACCTTACATTGAAAAGTTGAAGCAACATCAAAGTATCTAAGCAAACATACAATAGAATCTGATAAAAAGACAAAGCTAACTAATGTATCTGAGCCTTTTCACGCCAGTGTCAACACTTTTAGCATTCTGCACCTGATGTTTTACAGAAGGAAGCTCAATCTCCGAGCTCTTCTCTCTGCAACCTTTGTCGTTCTGCTTCTTCTTTAAGAAAGTCAACCTGACAATTGTTACATAAGACAATGATTTTAAAATTGTAAGCTGCTTTAACTCGACCATAAATTAGAAAACTAACCTGTTTATAGCAAATTAGTGGTGCATTCTAGCTCTTTAACAGATCTCTCAAGTAGCTTCGCCTGAACTTCTTTTTCTTCAGCATAGATCTTTCCAGATTCAGCTATCTGTCAACAAAGTTTGCAGAGCAAGATCAGGAAACATGAAACAGGTGTAATCTTAGCATACATGTGAAGTAAAATGCACCTTTTGGGCCTCTAGTACTGCAATAGCTTCAGTTTCTTCAGCCCTAGACTTTGTGCTTTCTAGCTTTTCTTCTGAACTATGAGTCTCCACCTGGGGCTGATCTCTCTCACCTGTTCTTGAACTTGAGTTATCAGCTCCAATTTTCACGAGAAAGCCTTTCTAGCTAGGGGCACTTGTTCCTTGGGAAAATCAGATTCGAGATTAGATACCATATCAATCTCTCCCCCTCCCCAGCTGAGCTTCAAGCAACTGACGATGAGCAATAGCCTGTTCAAGCTCACTTGATTTCACAACCAGCTCATCTTCTAAAGCCTCCATATATAGAAGCTATCGCTTCCTTGAGCTTATCCTTTTGGTCCTTAGTGTTAGATGCAGACCCCTGCAACAGGCTTGGATGAAATAACAGTCCCTTTAGAATATCATCCTTCCTCAATGACTCGGCCTAGAACTGATGTTGTCAGAGACTAGCTCTGCAGCATGACATTCCAAGCATTCGATCTCTTTTATGCACTCAGATGCCCCTCCATATTTTCAACGGGAATCGTTAAAGGGCATGTGCTTTTGAATTTCAACGGCTAGCCTATTTGGTTTTCAGCATGCTAGCTGCTTGGACTTGGAAGTTGTTGTGCTGTATTTCTTGGGCATGGGCTTCGTATTTTTATGGGCCTCGATATTTTTTAGTTGAATGATAGAGAGCTCACACTGGATCAGAAGAAGACGATGTTTACCATGTAGATTTACGCGGGGATCCATGCTTTTTTTAAAAAATAAAAGGATAAAAAATATATATTTTAAATCCCAAATTTTCATTCTGTAGCGTAGTTGAAACAGCTTCCAAAACACCACTTTAAACAGCTTTTAAACTATACTAGACGTTCTTGCTATTATTCTTTTGATTTGATTGAAACGAAGGCAACGAGCTCAGCTAGCATTCCAGGTTTTAGTCGGAGGTTATGTTAGTTTTTTTTTAACAGTTATTTTTAATAAAATTTTTAATTTTTTTTTATTTATTATTAAAAAAGTTGATTAAAGAAATATCTTCTAGTCAAAAAATAATTTAACTTAATTTTTAAAAAAGTGTTTTTTTATAAAATTTGAGTGAAAAATACTTTTTGGAAATTATGAGAAATCCAGAAATATTATATTATTTATTTATTATATTAGATTTGATTCTTAAATTTTTTATTATAATATATATTTTATTTTGAATATTTTTTTAATTTAATTTTTTAAAATTTAATTTTTATATTAATTTTGCTTCTTATTTTTAAAATTGTTATTTACTCTTTTTTTTATCATTTTTTTATTAAAATTTTTTATCTATGAAATTTGATCTTCATTCTTTTAATTGTTGTTTATTTTATTTGAAATAATTTATGAAATATTAAATATTATTATTTTAATTTCTTCATCTTTTATTTTTTTACTTTTTAGATTTGATTTCTATTATTTTGATTATTATTTATTTTATTTGAGATAATTTATAAAATTATATTTTTTTTCAATTTTATTCTCATTCAACTTTTTAATTTATAAGATTTATTTCTTATTATTTTAATAAATTTTAAAAAATAAAATATTAATAGTTATTTTATAAATTATTTTCTATGACATAATTAAATATTGAAAAGTATTTTTAAATAAATTTTTTATTATGCTATCAAATATCAGAAAATAATTTATTTTTTTATAATTTATTTTTTTAAAAAAATATTTTTTAACAAAACTAAAAAAAAATAATTAATTTTTGGCAATGCAAGCTCAAAAGGTTTAGTGGCCATCGGTCAATTAGCATGGCCTGCAAAGCCACGTCGCTGGTTGGTCGAATGGGGACCATTTCAATTATTTGGCAATTCTATTCATAATGGGTGCAGGGCAAGGTCGGAATCTGTCCTCAAACTATCGTGCATCTCCCGAGTGAGTGCTTCAACTATTAGTTGTCCCAATTGAGGCCCCGTTTGCTGAAGATTGACTCCATTAACCCCCATTATTATCTACAGTTAAGAGATATATTAACCCCCCATTTTGGTGTAAAAATTCATTAACAAAGATTTCTTAGCCCTCAAAAAATCATGCAGTTTTAAAAGGGCTTACAACTCTTTTTGTTTGTAAAGAGAGTTAGGAGCGTACAGGTGTGGTATTTAATGAGAAAAGAAGCCCAGGTTTGGCACTAAAATAAAGCTTAAATTGAAGGCACGTGCAACAATAAGGGATTTATTGACCGTGGTAACACTGGGCGTTAATTGAGTTGAATTTCAGTAGATGGGGACTCAATTGGGAGAATTAATAGTTGGATCACTCAGCTGAGATAGGCATAATTGTTTGGGGGCAAATTCTTACTTACCCCGTAGTGTTTTAAGGCCAAGTGTTGCTCTCTTAGCGAAACTCAAAATATCATGTCAGGGTCAGTTCATTAGCTGAAGCTTGTCGCATATAATCCAGAAGGATAACATGATGGCATCTTCTCCTTTTCAACGATATTAACCATATGCCTTGTTGCTATTGGTAAACTCACACTTGAAGTTTAGATTTGGCTTATCTCTTCTCAACTTGCGTTTCCCCCATGTCTTCAACAGTCAATATTACTGTGAAATAGACAGAGAGAGAGGGAGAACTGGCTATTTTCTTGTTTACATGTCTCTTGGAGTTTCCAAAAGCTAAAATAGACTATAGGATATCTTCTATTTTTTAAAAAAAAAAAATTGGTATTTTCTCTCTCTTTTCCCATTGTGGTAATAGGGAAAAGCCATTATATATATATATATATGTCGGTGGCTTTAATTTGAAAAGTTAGGGAGAGGGGGGACGCAAGGAAAGAAGGAGAGAGCAAATAAAAATGGTGATACAAAGATTAGAGATGTGCATAGCCCTGGCGAAACTGGCTATGGAGTTTATCATGGCTGTGGTTGAAGCAATTGGAATAGTTATTCAACAGAATGGTACAGCTGCGCCGCTAGCAAACCATCTTTATATTGCTCCGGTTCCTTTTGTTGGTTTTCTTCCATGAAAGTTGATCGCTCTGTCAAGTTTCTTCACAAGAAAGCGTCTACTCTTTCAGGTTGTTTTCTTTCTTTTATGGTTATGTGTACATAAAGGAGAGGTTTGCAGTTGGTGAGAGATAAGCCTTCTTTGTAATTAAACTCTATCTGTATGGATTTTAATCTAGTAATGTTTTTTTTTTTATTATTATTATTACAAAGTAGAGGCTAGAACACGAGACCTGCAGGAGACTCTATCTCTCCAGTTGAGTTACATGCTCGACGATTTTGATGGTTCAGTTTCTTGATTATCTCTGGAAGTAATTAATCTACTATTCCCATTAATTAACTTGCAATATATTTACTTTTGTCATTAATTTGTGTTGACTATTTTTATTCATTTAAATTAAGGGATATATGCTTATGATCAATGAACACTCAGATAAGAGGGCTGTTCTAGTAGAAGTGGGGGAAGGAGAGAAATACTACATCTTAGAGAGATTGTAAATGAAGTCCAATATGGACTTATCTACACACTCACACAGAGACAGGAAACTCCATTGTCAAAAATTTACTTTGATGTTGATGTATTTGTCTTGCCACAAGTATTTGTCTGATAATATCAGCATATATATCAGCCTCTTCAGCTGCTTTTTGAATTCAATTTTGAAGATAGTGGGACTATAATATTATTGATTTCTCTTTGTGAAGATGACTGATCAGTCTCCCTCCTCCGGTGAAATGAATTTAACGTTGTCGCATGTTAAAGAAGAACTAAATCAGTGCCTATTTATTAATTTGCCTGGCATTGCCAGAGTAGAAAACCTATATTAGGTTGAGTAATTACTCGAAAGTTCTTTTTTTTATATATATAAATGACCTGTCAATGAGAATAAATCATGACTTTGAGTTAGAACTAGATTTAATAGAAAGAATAATAATTTTAAACAATTTTTTTAAAATAATGTATTATAAGTTAGAATCCATAAATTTAAAAAGTTAAAAATTTTAATTCTTGATTAAAGCAAGAACTTTACTTGATTTATAACAAATCTTTAATTCAAGTTACAACGTTTTTGAGCTAAAAATTTTAAAACAACTTAAATAAAATTATAAAAATAATACCAAGCACAACCTAAATTAATAAAATCACTTGCAGTATTATGAGTTGAAGAGATATGTTAATTTCTAGCTCAAGTCATTAATAATTTTTTTTTATATATATTTCAGGGTATCCAGATTAGTTTACGTGTACCATGACTAATTTCTGAATTCACTAAATATTTTGCAAGTCTAATAAATAGGTAAAGTACCGTGGACGTAACAGGCATATATAATGAGACTTAAATCCAGAATGCATATGCAGAGAAACTCTGCCAGGATCGCTGGGCTATAAGCCTTGATACCAAGTTGCTAATGAATTGGTTTGTGCGATGCTACATTTGTTTCTGGGTTTTAAAAGTGTTTTTGAAAAAAATTAAAATTTTTTATTAACTTCAAATTAATATATTTTTAGTGTTTTTAAATTATTTTGATATGATAATATTAAAAATTAATTTTAAAAAATAAAAAAAAATTATTAACATATATTTTAACATAAAAAGATATTTAAAAAATAACTGAAACTATAATTTTAAATAAGCTTTCAAAACAAGCTGTGCAGGAGTTATATTAAAATATATCAATAATTTTAAATTGAATATAAATCTCTGTATTATTAGAATTGCTGTAGATATGAATAAATTCCTTCAACGTGAGAGTACAACTATTAGTTTTTTTTTTTTTTTATATAGTCGACCATTTAAAGAAAAGCATTATTGCCCGTGAATCATATAATCATAGGAGTGATGTGTGCCAGATGTAGATTCGAATGAATAGAGACAACGATATGATAGCAGCATCATTACAGTACTTCCATTATTTCACACATGAACTATAGTATTTTAATCACAGGGCATCTTCTTTTTCTTTCAAACAATCAAGAACAGCACTGCCCCATCGTGATTAAATCGAATTGCTGGTGGACGTGTTCTTGTAATTGCTGGCATAGGCCGGGATAATAAATGCTTCATGGTAAAATTATTAGCCCAGGGATGACACAGATTCAGTTTTTAACACCTGTTAATTACATGCTACTTTTGCTGGAGGAATCTGTAAATATATACCGGGTTCACAGAGTTGTAACTCAGTTGCTTGGAATTGTTTATTCTTTGAATTGTGGACATGTTCTGCCTTGCTGCAATTTTATGAACAAAGAGAGAGGCATGATCCTGTTATTTCATATCAAGACGCTACTGCTCATAGAAGTGAAATCATGTTTCTTAATCAATATAATAACTCAACTTGTATTCAGATTCCCCTACCCGTAACATATTTCAAATTCGAGTCTCTGTTTTGTTAAGGAAAAAAGAATATGATTAAGTGTTTCTGTACGACCTTTAAATGGTGGATAGTCAACATGCCGTACTTTTAATTAATTATATTAAAAATTAATTAATTATTAGAGGTGATCACTTTGAATTTACTTTTTAATCGTGAGTTTTTCCAGAGTAATTAAAGGCTCATATAATTATTAATTTTAAGATTTAAAATATTAATCAGCATATATATAAACTGGTTTAAATATTCAAGTTAATAAAAAAATTAATTAAATTGATTGCTGCAGATGCAATGCATACTAAATAAACACACAATATATATAAGCCTGTTTAAACTTAAACTAAATTACTTTTATCTGTTTCATTAAGCAATCTCACTGTCTGTTTTTTTTGTTCCTCTACGTGTTTCAATAACTATAGCTTAAACGAAGAGCATTATTATCCATGATCATAAGAGATCCTTGCAGGGGAGATATTAATTTAGTTGACCTGGTTAATCAAGAAAGATAGCTAAGTGACATGAGAACACCATTTCACATTTTATTTTATTAGACGCAAAATATTCTTTAATCACACGACGCCTGTTTATATAACTTGGGAAATGTTTTTTAATAAAGAATGGCACTATACCCAACCGCGATTATATCGAATTGCCGGCAAATGTTCTTACCACTTGCTACCGGAATACATGATACGCGTTAAGGTTGCAAAACATATTTTTTTAATCTGATATAAAAAATATAATATAAATTTGGATTGTAAAATTATATAATTTTTTTAATTAATTATATATTGACAATATTCCAGTTAAAAAATTAAATTATATTAAAATCTAATGAAAAGAATTACTAATATTATAATTAATGAGTGATTTAATAAAATAAATTAATGACATGAAAAAAATAAAAAGTCTTATAATAATATTTTTCAATATTAAAAAATCACTAAATGATAGAAAATACACATAAATAAATATGATGATAATTTGGTTATTCTATCAAAATATGTTCTAATAAATCCCTTAATGAGGCTAAACTAGTAATTAATTAATATAAATCTAATAATAAAATAAATCTCTAAATAATGTCTAATATGCTAGAAAAAAATCAAATGAAAAATAATTATTTAAAAATAAATAAATAGATAAATAAAATATGATAATAAAAATAAGTTCTTCATGTTAAAATTCCTTTATTCTGCTCGAATTCCTGATTTTTACATATTCTTGATAGATTAGAGTCTTAATTTTAAACATGTTATTTTTTCTTGTTTGGATAAATTATTGGGTCTATGATATATGATTGAAAAGTTTGAAATTTCTAATTCTCGTCTCAACTTTAATCATAAAAAAATTTCACTAGTAGCTCCAAATATATCCCAGATAGTATACGAAAGTTTAGTTTAACAAATTTAATAAGATTTATTTACTAACTTTCACTCTCTGAAATACTATGTTCTCGAACTCCATTTAACTTAAAAATTTATTATAATATATTTTTATGTGTTTAATATGTTCATGTAAAATTTTAGCTCTAGAGAATAGATTGTTTGAAAGATATTTTTAATCTTGTAAAACTAGTCATTAGATATTTTAAAGCTAAATTTAAATTAATTTAGTTTATATTATAAATTTAATAAAATTATAAAATTAAATTGAGTTTACTAAATTTATTAATTTTACACTAATAAAGTTTAATTTTACTAGCATTTGGGTTCCAATATAATTTATTAACTCATGATTTTAAAAACAATGATCTCCGTCAAGTTTATTAATCTTAAACTGATGGGCTCCTAGTTGTCTTAAAAACGTTGTTTTTTCTTAATAAAATAATCTACGCTGAAAGGAAGATTAAACACATCCAATAATCTTGCGGCATAAGCTCGAAAAAGAATCTCATGACATGCATGGTTATTTGATTCGAGCATCAAATTGTGGGTTGCCAGAATTCCAAAGATACATATTTTTTTGGTAATTTTTGAAAAGTTCAAGAGCACAGTAAACAGCCGGACAGTCATTCCACGGTATGGTGTCTTTGGATTTTTCTGAAGCCCAAAGAAAGCTGGGCCGAGATAAGTGTTTCGCTCTAATTGTTTCGGGTCTTATATCCTATGCCTAGTTTGTCTTTGGATTTTGGGTTTTCTATTGTTTTGCTAGGATCCGGTGTTCCTCATGAGGCGAAGAGGAAGAGCAACGGGTTTGGGTCATTTTGGGGTTAACTTTCAGGCTAGTCTTGGCTGGGTTTTCATTCAAATCTGTTGAGAGTTAGAACTGATTATGATATGTATAAATACCGGTGTGATTGTATTACAAAAGCGTCGGATCATTGCAACATCGAGGTTCTTCAAGTTGAGGGAGATGATATGTTTTTTTGGTTCACTGTTTTAAAAGTTACAGTGCATATATTCCGTGCAATTTTGAGGCGTCGAGATTTTACAAGTTAGAAATTTCTTGAATGCTACATTGATAAGCATGAATGCTGACTTTAGGTGGGTATCATAACAGTAACAAAAGAGGTACGGTGGGCAAGGCCGGCTGTTGGATAACCATGGATACCAGATCGAGTTCGGGTAAGCAAAGACTAGGGTTTGGATATGAACATTACAAACCCCGACCCGTAGGATTCATAATTAGATGCCATTTCAACAGCGAAAGACCTTATCTGATAACAGTACATGTATTAATTCTGGCACCCTTGAACTCAAATATATTTATACCGTGAGCAAATTCGTAACTCATACCTCTGGAGATATTTTTTTGCTAATTACAAAGATTAGCATGTCTGCATGAAGGGCATGCTACAAGTTAATTGAACTTGACCCCTCTTGTGCCGATCTTTGCTCTCCGGACATAAAGCTTCAATTACTAAAATAAAGATGAAAATTAAAAGCAAGGACAAAAACAAAATTACCCAGTAGCTCTTTATTAAGAGTAGAAATGTTGAGGCAGTAACAGAAACACCTTATTTTTATTATTCATATGGAATCCTGGGAATATACGGGCATCAATTATAGTTCTTAGCAATTCTTTGCAGACAAGCCCAAAGTTCCTTAGGTTTAGACATCATGGACATGTGATCGGATCCTAGTATCTCTTTCACTTCATTGGGTGGATTTTTTTGGATCATCCATTGTTGAAAATCTTTCTCTGCAATGATAAAAGCTCTTTTAACCGAGCCATATTTCTCCCTCGTTAGTACAAGGTCCCTTGACAATTCTTGATCAGTAAATAGACGTGTTTCCCTCACCAGTGTTGTGGCCAATGTCCAGTCCTGAAGCCATTTTGTCACCATAAATTTCATCAGAATCTCAATATTAAGAGAATAAATGTAAAAAATTGTGACAAATTGGGTCTCAAAAGAAAGAAAGAAAGAAACCACATTTTGCCTATGAATCTGTAAAGTTCTTACCTCAATTGGACTGAGCTGATACAATCTTAATAGTAGGTATTTGGGCCCAAAGGTAAGAGATGTTGGTGGGTTAGTCGGATCATTGCCGAATGTGTAGCGGCTGTCTAACATATCACTTTGCCTTCTTACACGCTTCGGTAATAACTAATAACACATGCACAAGAAAAGTGAAAAAGTTGAAAATTGTGAGACATGAGAAGAATGTAGCTTAACAAATTGATTGCATGTTGTGATATAAAAAGTATAACTAGATATTCATAACAGAAAAATAAGTTAGGTTAATCAATCGAATAAGAGTTTTTTTCTTTTTCTTTCTGCATGTACCTCTTGACGAAGAGTGGAAATGTTAAGGGAGGGCTTGGCATAAGGGCAGTAAGGAAAACAGCCACAGAAATCTTGCTTGGAAGTCTCTCCATGGTTTGAGAAAGTGCCAATCCCCCTAAGCTATGACCAACAAGGATAACCTTTTCATTTGGTGGTAGAGACGCCAGAAGATCTCTCAACGGCCTAATGTAGTCAGATATAGATTGAAGATCGCTAATCTGCCGTGGGTCAATCCCAGAAGCAGCTAAATCTATAGTGGTAACATTGTGACCTGATGATCTTAATAGAGGCACAAGTTTGCACCAACACCAGGCACATTGCCTGCCCCGTGAACTAGCACAAAATGCTTGCTAGGATTGTGGAGTGGCTGCGATAAGGCCTTATTGGTTGCAATATTGAGAAGGATGATGAAAATGGAAATTAACACCAAAAGTTTCTTTGCTTGCTCCATGCTTCTCTTGAAGTGGTAGGTTTCTACAAGGCTTATCCTTAGGCTTATATGAGTTTTAAAGCCAGACTCTGCTCTCATTTTTACACACACACACGGCGCCATGAATGTAAAAAATGGTTAATCTCTTTCAACTATCACCTGTAGTCAATAGCTTGAAACGTCAAGAAAGGGCTAAGCTCGTGGATTGCCTGGCTTGGAAGCTTGAAAATAGAAAGAAAGATTTTTCCGTAGATTCTAGAACACCTCGGTCATGCAATTCGGCCGTAGGTTTACTAACAAGGACACGGTAGAAAATTAATAGTACAAACTGAAGTTGCCTCCTAACTACAATTTCAACTGTAAGAAAAATATAATAATAAATTGCCTAAGGCCATAAATTAGGTCCCAAAGGCTTAATTAACTAGCACAAGAGAAGAGACAGAAAGCTCAAGGAAAAGAGTTTACCCTACATCCACAGGATGAACCCGCGTGACTTTAGCCTCTAAAAGTTGACCCAAACTCCTGGCATCTCTAGATCAGCATGGTTCTGAATGAAACTGGACACGAAGGCCTAACACCTTCATAATTCCCGTTGCAGAAATTGTTTAAGATATGCCTTGTATTTGTTTCGTCTGTATTCTTCACAAAATCAATTAAACTAGTTTGATAATTCAACTTTAATCATCTGCGTTTCAAGAAATTATACCAAATTTCATTACTTTTCATAATCATCTGCATGTTTTCCTTTTTCTCGAAGGACTTGTTTCTTGATGGACCGTATATCATGACTTTGTCGTTTTTTTTTTTTACGTTTATTTATTATACCAAATGCTATCCATTTGTTAATACAGAAGTGTTTAGAGGTTTTATTAGCAGGTTTAATGCTACTATCAATAAATTTCGCACGGCTTTGTCTTTTTTCTTTTTTCTTTTACATTTATTTATTTTTTTGTTCAACCCGCCACGTACACGCCACTGAGTTAGTGCTGAACACTAGATAATGTAATTAACCACGTTGATGATATAGAGAAACCAGGATGATGGGAATACCATGGGCATCCGTAAGAGTACCAAATTTGTAGTTTTCTCCCAAAATTTCTATTGACTGCATGCTAGTTTTTGTCTGAGAATGGTTTATTTGTAGACTTTACTGATCATGAATAATGTCACCGACATATATATTGATGATATATGCAGATGGAGTTGGCTTCACCCAACCCAATCTTCATCTCTTTTTTCTCTTGATCACGTCTCAACATTGTCTTGAGAAAGGATGGTCAAGGCAGTGACATAAACAGTGGCTGAGTCTAATGTTGTTTTTATTGATTTTAAAGAAATAAGAATTTGAGGTGGTTCCGTTGTGAAATATCTTCGGAAATGGAGACTTTATGGTCAGCAACGTCGCTGGAAAATACGGGGAGGGTTGCCAAAAACGTCTACTCCCTCCATCGAAGAAGCCGACATGCCATCTTCTTCTTTGAAAGGATACCATGCAGGACTGCATGTGCTTGGGCCACCACGGAAGTCTATTTGGGAAAAAAAGAAGAAGAAGAAATGGAAGCATTTTCTCATTTTTCTTTTCTTTTCTTTTTATTAATTCCCTTGTTTATTCTTTTTAAGAAAAGAAAAATAAAAATAAAAATTAATCTCTCTTTTTATTTTTCTCTTTCCGTTCTACACTTCTTCTAACCCTGTATTTCTTACAAAAGAACTTTTAAAACATAAGTATATATTACGATAAAAAAAAAGGTACTTTAAATTTTTTTTGTTGCCTTATACCCACTTGATACTTTTAATTAAGTAATTGCCACTGTTGTTTTTTTAAAACATTAATTATTTGGATGAATTTTCTTTTCTTTATCTTTGGAAACAAGAGGAAAGAAGTTCAACCATTTGATGCTAGATTTTTGTGAAGCTCAAATTCATGTTACCATTTAGTGATCTTATTATTTGAAAAGTTGATTTAATAGTTTTATTTTGAAAAATATAACGCTACTTTTAATTTATTTCTTTATACATCTAGCTAAGATTTTGATTGAGATTTATTATTTTTATTAACAAAAAATTAAAAGGGCTTAATAAATTACTGTAACATGTAGGAAATTCACTATAGATTCAGTAATGTAATAAAAATTTTGTTTTTCATTGCTCTTAATGATTATCTTTGCACTTAGCGTAAAATTATATTTTTTATGAGATTCAAATGCCATTTAAGAATTGATGAGAGGCAAACTTGTCGTTTTGTATAATAAAAATACTATATTTCCTTTAGGAGCTCGAAGAATTGGCCTTCGATCCACGAGCTTTAGTGTATTTGCATAATTAAATAATCTTCATGTTCTTCAAACCAAAAAAATATGGGCATTTGAAGGAGGGGTTGTTATGTATTTGCACATTTTATCTAAAGTAAAATTTTATATTTGCCTTTTAACTTCAAAAAATTAAAAGTTGTGTTGGGAGGGTATATTTCGTATTTGCATAATGATTTTTTTTATAATATTCATATGACATTGGAGTCTTTTAGTAATTTACATTATTATAATATTAATAAATTAATAAAATAGGCCTATGCATGCCTGACATGTGTAGCCGAGTTATCTACCCTTATGCCATTCTAGAGGCATGTATTGTGGCCAAAAAAGGCCAATTGCTAACTCACCCATTGTAGAAAATAACAGCGTTTCTTTTAAGGTGGTGTATTTTGTCATTCCAGTGGTGGTTCAACAATGATCGGTTTTTTTCTCTTTCCCTTCTTTTTTTTCTCCTAAGACTTGGTATATATGTAAAACTTTAACAAATTTTATTGTGTCCTCTAGTTTGTATTTGTTTTGGATTTGATCTTCATCTTTTTATTTATTTTTATTTTTATAAATTTGATGCTTCTTTAAATTTATTTTGTTTTTAATTTTGTCTCTAATCATTTAATTTTATTAGATTTTTTTCAATCAAATCTAGTTCTTATTCTTTTGTTTGTTATTTTTTTTACCCTTTTGATTATTATTATTTTTTATTTTGTCTTTGGGAGTTTGATTTAACTTTATTTGGTTTTCAATTTTGTCCTCATTTTTTATTGCTTTTTTTTTTTATCATTTTCTTCATTGATTTTGTTTTTCAACTTAGCCCCTAATTTGTTTCTTTCAATTATTTTTGTAAATTGTTTAGTCCTCATTGTTTTAATTTTAGTTATTTTATTTTTTAATTTTTTTATCGTTTGACATTTTTCCTTATGGTTTTTTCATATTTTCTTTTTACAGAGTAATATCAGTCTCATAACCCGATCTATCAATTTTAACAATGAACTCAATTTAAATTCGATCTTTTTTAAATTTATTTTTTTGTTTTCATTATTTAACATTGAATTATTGGGCTTTGAGCTTCTTGATTTATTTTGCTTTTTTTTATTAGGTTATCTCTGCCTCGTATCTTATATTACAAGTTAGTTGAGTTAATTTGAGTTTACTTAGTTTTTTTTAATTATTTTTATTTAATTATTAACCCTTAAACATGTTTTATAAAATATTATTTTAGAAAAATGCATGTGTGAGCACATGATGAGTTGTCTTGAGTGTAATGTGGTAAAGTTAACTTGTTTTAGTTTGCATTTTCTTACTAAATTTTTTTATTTAACTTAGGTATTTTTTGTTAAGTGCTTTGAAAAGTTTGATTTTTTAAGAGTTTTTTTTTAATTTCATCATTTTACATGAAATAATTTTTCCTTGAACTTTGTCATTTTTTTTTTTATGTTTGGTTATTACAATGACTGGTTAGTAAAGATAACCCGAGTTAACTTGGGTATTTTTTTATGAACCTTGGCTTTTTAGCTTTATATTTTTTTAACATCATGTTATTAAATCTTAAATTTTATAATTTTTTTTTTACTTTTATTTATACAAGTTATTATAGTCTTATATTATAAATTGTGTTTTAATAAATTTAACCTAATTTATCTTAGATTTTTATTATTTAAATATTATTTTTTTATGTTGGGAGAATTTAAACTGGCCCGCAACCTAGGGGGCCATCTATCTGGTAGATGTAGACTCTAAAAGTTAACATAAACTCTTGGCATCTGTAGATCAGCGTGGTTCTGAATGAAGCTGGACGCAAAGGGCTAACACCTTCATCATTTCGGCTTCAGAAACTCTTGAAGATATGACATGTATTTGTTCCGTCTATCTTCTTCTCAAAATCAATTAAATTAGTTTGATAATTCAACCTCAACCTCAAAGACCTCGTCAAGTGTCGCGAAATTATATCAAATTTCATTACTTCATATAATCAACTGCGTGCTTGAAGGGCCTGTTTCTTGATTGACCGTATTACTTGGATTCCTTCCCGTGATGTTGCTCTCTAATTGGATACATGAGAATAAAA